TAATTAACACTTAGTTCTTATGTATGTATTAGGTACATACATTTAATCATTATCATTCGAAAATAGACAGTACAATAAGGTGAAGTAAAAATTAATTGGAAAATATTATGTTGTATTATTTATGCAGTTGATATTCATAAGCGTGGCTATTTTAAGAACATTATAATCATATGTGGGTATTGTGGACATAAGGACCTTAAATTATTGGAATAGAAGGTTTTATAGTATTAAACTTTAGGTAAACGTTTTCCACATATCTGGTTGGTCCCATGGTAAGATAAGTAACACGTTTTCCACAAAATGTAGATATGTTACAATGTTTTTAAAATAACTTTTACAGTCTACAAAAGTTAAAGAAGGAAAATAGAGATGAAATTATTATAAAAACAAAGAATTTGGATTCAATTTATGTTCAATTTTTTCTATTATTATGTTGCACAATATAACTTTGAGTAAGAGAATGCATTACACTAATTGCATAACGTAATTATTCTTTAATTCCTGGACCACGAGTACATTATTCATGTAACTATCTATCAACTGTTGTAATACATAAACTGAACAATATATTTATGAGGCTGAATCGGCATTGTAAGGTTATATTTTACTACTAACTAAGCAACAATCGTAAAAATAAGGCTACAACTATTACAGCCCTTTTCCACTATTTAGTTGAATTGTTTTATATATACTATAATTATTATATTTATCAGACTAGTCTCTAACCTAACAATCTACGATAAATCCAAACGGTTTATAAGAGCACAAGTTTTTAATCTGTAGGCTAGGCAATATCCGAGGGAACTTACTTGCTACTTCGCTTGTTTAGCTAGAAGGAAACATTTATTATGAGAAACACTTATAGCAAACTGTAGTATCCAATAACTTACACTTAACTCTTAATGTTTTTAATTGATCAATGTATTTTTATAATTGTACGTGAGAATACTAATATCTTGTTACATTAACTGGAAAGGGAAGAGATAGTTGGATATAAATAATAATATCTAAATGTTTACTAATAAAATAATGATAACGACATAACGATGTATAAGAAACGCATTCGACTGATACCTGTCAGTCAATGAGTAACGCAATACGAATAAGAAGTTGCGCAATTTCAATTAATTGTCAAATTAAAATGATAGAATAGGAACAAATTAATCTTTAATATATGGGCGAAGGAGGCTCCATGAAACATTTTAACTAATCGTCAGCTTTACAGAGATTTGGAAACCAAATTTCTTATATTAGGGTAGAATTAAGCTTTCTCATAATATAAGAATTTCTAATCACACCTGTTCTAAGGAGCCTGCCTCATCCGTATGAATCACACCGTGACGTACAATATTTAATAATTTTATTTTTAAATATTGATTTAATATCTAGGAATATATTTTCTGTTTGTCAATAATAGATTAACATTTTCAGAGAATAATCCTTTAAACTACTCATCAAAGTCGAGGTAGTATAATAGAAAAATTAATGTTTCGTAAAATTGGATAATATAATTAGATGATTATTGAATTTTTTATTTGCTCTAAAACTATGATAGACATAGCTGAGTTGTGAAATAAGAAATATAATAAATAGGTACTATTAGAAATTATTTGATTACAGATACAATTATGTTCAAATTTTAGGGCCGATTTTTCTATCATTAGTTAATTCTTAACTGAGGAATCTCTTAATACTTGACAATTCTTCCATACTAAAAACTGTCAAATGTCAATTTTATTCTACAGATAAGATTTTACTGATGATTTAAAAACCGGTCCTTAATCTTTTGAAATCTGAAATATTCAAATAAATAGAATATATTATAGATAGATATACCGTAACATCAAGCCTTTCCATTCCCCGGGGGTAAGATCAGAGCAAATATTTAATGTAACACCCACTTTCACTATTTTTATTTATTAGACCAAGTCAAGTTTAAATCTAAGAATTTTTCGAAAAAACGATTAAACTCAATAGGCTGCTTTACAGTGCTACCATCTTAGTGTAAAATAATTTTCAAGGGACAGATTAATGAACCATTTAAGAAGAAGTAGTCATACAATACATAAACACCAAAATCCAATCCTATTAAACGTTTATTGAGATACATATTTCAAAGAAACTAACTTAAAATTAGAATAGGCTTTATTCTCGCTATATGAATAAAATATCTAATAAATAAAAAAGTAATAATAACTATATGATACTGCCTAAGTAAAAAAAATGCTCAGATATATTTAATTTAGATAGAGAACAGCTGATGTGCATAATTATAATTTATTTAGAATCAACAGTACGCTCTTAAAGATGTTCTTCTTAAATATTTCAAAATTGGTCCCATTTCAATATGACATCTGCCAGAATTTTGTAGTCTAGTTCTAGTTTTTTAAGATAAAAGACTGGTGAAAATGTACTATGGCCGTGGAACACTCAAGTAAAACTGGCATTATGTTGTTTATGAATATCCTAAGAATTTCTTTGTAAGAAACCAGGTATTCGAAATGTTCAATTGTATGTAGAAAAAATTATTTTCTTTAATTCCTGAAGGGATAGCCAGGGGTGCACAAATACAATTTACAAACCCACTTTTCAAAATGAAAAATCAATCGGACTTAACTCGGCATCATAGAAGCACCGGCTACCAATGAGGTAATCAAGTCCTATTACAAATTATTAGTTTAGAAGAATTAAAAACTAATAATTGTGAGAAAATAAATTGAAAGAAAGAAATATTGTATTATAGTAATACAAACTGATACAGAATAGCATTTGTGCGAAAGGAGTTACTACAAATACTTATCAAATTTTGGTATAAAAATATATAGGTACCTACATAATACTTGAGAGAGAGTGATTAGATTTGTTTTTTTTTATAATACTAACGGTGTTCTATGTTTCAATTATCAACTTTAGTCATTATATTTTATTCGTGTACCTAACATGATCATTATCGTCAAATCAGTAGATTATGCATTAATATTTAATTTCCCAAAGGCTTACTCAGCGGCAGTGTCAATAATTCATTAAGACGCACGTAAAACAAGCAAAAATTGTGTACTTTACTATGGCTATTACTATGTACAGTACCCATACATAAATATTGCACATCAACTTTTGAAAAGAGTCCATTTTGTGTGATATTATGTATTATCATATTTTTTTAACTTAGCCCCCACACTAGGATTTTATCTCCTATGTTGTGGGTGCGTTTTTCAAAGGTCAATCTGCAATATTTATCGCCGGGTACTGTGTATGTCAGAGTGGCAGTAATGAACAGTCTAGCTAAGAAATCCATCAACATTATTGTCTGCCTTAATTAGGTTTATTTTTGTTAACCAGAATTTTTGTAATTGCTCCGAAAACGTATGGAGGTTGGGCGATTTCCTTTGAAACTGAATAACAGCAATATCAACAAGATTCAATGATGTGGCAACAATTTATGTATTCCATTAAAAAAAGTATAAATAAATACAACCATGATTAATATTTATAATGTAAAATGTCTAAAACGTCACGACCAGGAGACCAGTCCAGGGAAGTCATCGGCGTCTCATAGACGCTACATTGTCTGGTCGTGCGCAATAACTCCGAATTGTACTTAGGCAATTTTTGTTTATTTATGTATATGTACGACATGCAACAGTTAACTCTTTGAACCATCAGTATTATGCTAAATGCGAAAATCTAACAAATTACCTTACGTTATACCATAAACGAGTAACGCAATACAATAAAAAATAAAATATACCTTTTATTGTTTATTGCACTGTGTTGCACGATTTTGGTACCTTGTAGAACAATAACCGTTACTTAAAGAACTAATGCCGGAATACTGAAACGTTACTCAATTTTAAGTCGTACTTAAATATCGTGGTATCTCTGTCATTTAACAAAGAATTTGTAGAGACAGAACTATACTTAAGAGTGACTTAAAATTGAGTAACGTTTCAGTATTCGGGCATAAGGTTCTTTAAGTAACGATCTTAAGGCCTGAAACTGCGTTAAGCAGGCAACCGCGCGGTTTTTAATAAATATGCTCCATCGCGGGACCAGCGCGAGTGTCCGTCAAAGGGACGCGCGCCTCGCACCCACGCAACGGGGCCCGCCACCTTGTGACGGGACCCGTCGCAGGGACACGCCCGGTGCCCGCCAGCGGTAACACGTACGGGCGTGTTCAGTCAATAACGCTGGGTGATACAGCTTAAATGCAAGCTCAGCTCAGGAAATCAAGAACAATCTATTTTAATACAGAGGGTAATTGTGGAAGTGCAGTGTCACGGTTGCCATATGGGACCGGGCGAATTTGAAAATATGGTTCCAGTTTCGAAAATAATTCGTCGTAGACCTATTTTAATTTTTTTTAAACTTTCCTCCACACTAGGTATTCCAATTTGTGGATCACACAAAGAGTTGCTCCGTGCGGGAATCGAACCTGCTACGTGAAGACCTGTACCGAAACTTTAAAATACATATTTTTAGAATGAGTGATGAATGATTTTCAGTTACTTTATTGATCTTTACGACAAATTTCCCGCACAACGACTTAAGATTTAATAAATGGGCTTACGGGTGTTTCTTTTTAGTTTTTTACTAGTCGTCGTTTTGCAACGTAATAATATATCAAGTTCGGGATCGACACGTCTATACAAGCACACCGTTAGAATTGAACTAGCGACACTGCGTAAATTGGTCTTGATACCCGCGATGGAGACCGTCGCGTACCCAGGGAGCCCACCCGTTTTCCAAGCACATAGACACACGACGGTTGACCGTCGCGGGCGCCCGCTTGACGCAGTTTCAGGCCTAAGGCCCTTTTTACACGCTCCAATTTCCGAGTAGCCAGTTGTTAGTAACCCGTCGTGTATTGCTACGTTAGATTAGTTAGAATACGTACCGGTATGTTCCAATGTATATTCACCACCCGATGCCCGGCAACCGGAGCGTGTGAAAAAGGACTAACGCATTGTTATTATTACTGATTAAATGTATCGAACTTAAAATTATTCAGTTTTTGATTCATTATTTTCTAAGCTTTTTAAACCAGATTTGATTAGAGGTTTATAGACAAAAGACCATGGCAAGAATAGGATAAATCCTGAGAAATATAAACTGGCGTATATGGACCACCATTTTGAAAAGCTCTTAGCGTCAAACGGTGCCAAACTCCAGCCCATAAACACTATGGTGTAGGTTTTAAGAATTATGTATAACAGGTACTTGAAGATTGTGTTGCCCCACATTTTATGATAGAATTGTGTTTTGGTAAGCATTACTTCGATATCCTTCTCCATGACCATTATAATAAATTCATTGAAAAAGGTCATGTAGTATCCGGACTGTGTGCCGTGCCATAGTGCGAGGAACGCGAGCGTGATTAGCTGGCTAAGGTTGCGGTTACCGAGGAAGCGGAGTCGCTTGTACACGTATTCAGCGGCGAAGTAATTGGTGTTGCAGTTGAAGCTGTCGATGTAGTGCTGGAACCGCGTGGCGCCTTCGAACCGCAGCAACTTGATGTTGTTGCAACCATCCCACTTACTCACCTGCGGGTAGCCTTTGGTCTCCATGCCATTGAATGATAACCCAAATCGGATACATGATGCTGTAACAATGATAAATTATGGTCAATACCTTATGTAGGTTGCATTAGATACATTTTTAATTTCTTAACTTATTATGAAGTGAGTGTAAAAGTAAATTGTTTCAATTTAGGAATTGAGATTGCCGTTACTGATTTACTCAATTGATTGGGATGCAATAAACTGCCAGACATGTGACATATCTCAGCGAGAACAATATCAATTGCCGTAATTTCAACTAATTTATACCAAGTGAAATGACCTCAGTGCACTCTTTAGTTAATTTACATTTTAATGCTGCATTAGTTAGTAGTTATCTACAGTACTTCGATTGTTCCTTCCATGTATTGTTTTGAAATTGGAGTAAAAGGTTTACAACCATATTATTATGTTAAAACAAACGATTTGCATTTCCTATTAGTTACAATTGTATTTGGTGACTGTTGAATTCATTCCGTATTATCCGATAATTACGTAATCAATAACAATATCGGAGTGTCCTCAACCTTTAATTATTATTTTAGTAACTGGATGACCGAGCTTGACTCACTGTTTGTTTTAGTACATTATTATATTTATTAGAAAAAAAAGAAAAAATATAGAAAAATAAAAAATTAATATTCAGGCTGAGGTTGAAACACGAATGTCCTGCGTAGCAGGCGCAAACGTACCCTCTCTGTTCTTTATTAATTATTGTTTTAATTTCATATGTAATGGCGAAATATAGCTTCGTATAATAAAGTTGATTCACCAAATACTTTAGGTAAGGATTTTCATTCTATGTAAACAAGATCCCAGCGACATTTTCTGAAAATGAAACCTAACTAGATCGATTTACCGCCCTGAAACCCCCAATTACAACATGTCAAGAAAATCGATAGAACTGTTTCCGAGATCGAGATCGGTGAATTGCTCGTTTAAAGGTATTAGAATTAGATTATTGATATAATTTAGGTCGCATGTTGAAATATTTAGTATAGCATAGAACTAACATAGATATGTTATATGATAAGAATAATTTATTTACCTTCAGTCAGTAGCCAGCAGGAAATGTATTTGTACAAAGCAAAATGAGCCCAAAGTCCACAGTAGAAATGCCGATAAAATATAGATGTTTCCCTGAACTCATCGGACAGCATATATTTCATGCTAAATACGGTAACTGAAACAAAAAACAATGACATGTCATTTTTAACCGAATATCTCTTCGATTTCTTTATAACTTCTGTCTTTACATCATTGACTTTAATTAACATTTAATTATAATGTGTTAATGATGTATAAGTGCCTAATGATTTTTACCTCCAACTTGATATGCAACCAAATAGACCAGTCCTTGAACAAGTCGTTTGATAGCTTGCGCTTCATACACGGCATTTTCTTTATCCAATGGAAACTTGTCGGTGATATAGTCTTTGTAACGCCTGAAGGAAAATATAGGTCCGACTAGGAAACACGCAGGGAAATAAACAAATCCAATCAGCTCCAAAAATGTTGGTGCGCTTTCTATGGCTGTTAATTTATTGTTTGCTGATAGTTCCTGTCCTTTTAGCATCTTCTTTCCATCCCATAAATCAAACGACAAAGCAATCAACTTGAGGGTCAGCACGCAGTGGGGCATAGTCCAAGTTATATCATACTCTTCAGATTCAGTCACCACATACCCAGCGAGTAGATACGCCATATTGAAAGCAAATGTGATTATGGAGTGGACCTTTCCTGGCCCAAAGATCTTGGTGGTTATATATATTACTAAAGCTGGTATGGCATTATGGTACATGGAGATACCAAAGTTATAGTAAGCCATGTCTAATCCCGTTGCTATGAAATACAAGTTCCTATATTCCACATGTTGCCGTACATATTTATGATAAACAATCGCAAGTGGGTATGCTATTAAGATGGATATTAACAACTTGAGTGCGGGTTCAGTGGCCCCTATGACTCCAGCCAGAAAGGGAACTGGGCTCAGACCCACCCAACCCAGCAATGTGAGTAACAAACCAAACATCGTTGTCAAATCTGTAAACAAACATAAATTATACTGTAGAAAGTCAAGTGCAAAGCATCCTAAGCTTGTATGAAGATGCATGAATGTGATGAAAGCCAAACCATTACAGTATATAATAGAACCTAATACCTATAAACGAGCAATATTATGACATGTATGTATGACATGTATGTATGTATGTATCAACGATCACGGAAACGGCTACATAGATTTTCTTAAAATTTAGTTATTAGGGCGTTTCGGGGCGTGTCGTTTTGTCCGTGTTTCCATTGAACAGAAATCCTTATTAGAATACGAAGCTAAACGCCATCACATATAAATTAGCTCAGTACATTCCGAGGTCAAATCTCGGTCCGAATGTTTCTTTTATTTTTTCTGTTTTCAATTTTATATTTATTGTTATATTTTATTTTTCATGTTTGTAATTTTTTTCTATATTATATATTTTTTCTTTAAAATTACTTCTTCATTCACATAATTATAGAACTTAAATAAACAACATATTTTTATGGGTTTTTGGGGATTTTACCAAATAAATAAAAGGATGCATTTTAGGAATGGACAATAAAATATATCCATTATAAAAACATGGTTCAATTAAATATTCCGATAAAACAAGTTGATTCATTTGTTTATATGGATGATAAGAGTGAAAGTAATAACACGGGTTTATTTTATTACTCATTACTCATTTTGATACATGACGGAGTTAAATTAGTTGCACCTTAGACTTTGACATGTACCACTTTTACTACTCTATTTAACGATTTATTTTAAGAATGACAAATATACACATTTATTTTGATTACACTAGACAATTACATTAAAATATTTTTTTCTCTGAATTTAAAATACTTTACTTCATGGTTGTACATTTAGATGAGAGCATGGTTGGTGCAGTGACTGGATAACTGAGCTTCTGTACAACATGGAGCAGGTTCGAGTCACGCATGGAAAGTCTTTGTGTAATGTATAAAGTGTTGTTCTGACTATGGGTGAGAAGTGTGAGTACAGCAATGAAAACAAATAATAGAAAATAAGATTTTTTTTTAAATTTATTCTGAATACCTATCCAATTGCCGTAAACTTAACACTCAATAAATAGCGACAATGAAATTTTTAAATTATTGTATTGAAATTAAAACTTTCATTAACGCTGTAAATGATAGTTGTGTCAATTTATGCCTTTTTGGAGGGGTGAAAATCATCCAATGACTTCTTCCGCCAAGGTGAGGTGGGAGAGAGAGACTTAAAACCACCCCGTTCCTATTCCTGCACTTCGAGCCGGAGCCCCGGCAAACCGTTAAGTTTTCCGCGGCTCCGTATTGGCATCAGCCCTGTTAGGCCCCATCTGCGTTGGTCTGATGGCTCCTTGAGGCGCGCGCGGAACGCGACGCGCCGTACGCTCGGACCTGGTTCTGGTCGGGCGGCGAGTCACGCGTACTCGCCATCCACAGGCCCGTGCTTACGGTGGCCGGAGATCGTCTCGCGATCCCCGACGCCCGGAATATCTCTCGCGACGGCCGGGGCGCGAGGAGGTTCGTTCCCTTACGCGCTCCGCCCCCTCCTTAGCTAGCATGACTGCTTCACAGAAGGAGGAGACGGTATCCCAGTCCCCCTCACTCTGTACCATGGTCTGAACCAGAGCCGGACGGAGGTCGCCGTCGCCGATCACATCCCTGAGGACACGGCGGTGCTCAGCCTACGCAGGACACACCGCCACCGTATGCTCCATCGTGTCCTCCGGGCGATCGTCGCAGTGATGACACCCGGGCGTTTCCTTAAGCCCAATCCGAAATAGGAACCTACCGAAACTTCCGTGTCCGGTAAGCACCTGCGTCAGGCGGTAGGTGAGGACGTCCAGTCAAAATTGAACCTTATAACAACTACCGTAAAATAGATAATGGAAGCTTCCAATGACAAGAATTCGCTTATTTCAACAAATAACACTGTTTATCAATTTTAGTGCAAATTTTTAAATGGTTTACTTGTTGTGTCTGTGTCTGCTATAATCTGCGCGACGTCGCCGCGACCGCGCACGCTGCTCATAAGGAAGAACCCCTCTGTGGTTCGAAACTAGTAGAGCTTTTCTCAGTATATTCACGTGAGTACCCGCGTTTTTAGTTAATTTGGTTTACTTGTTACTTATTACTTAATGTTAAGATTTGTTTAAGACTTCATAAAAATGTTCCTTCCATCGCATTACCGCGTGATATTTTCCGACCATAATCTATGTACTTATCATCTATAGATACAGATAAATAAAATTGGAGTGTCTGTTTGTAATATTAAAATAAAAAACATTCGCCTATTACGCACACATTGGTATTAATATCATTTTAGTGTCTGTATACGTATTTTTATAATCTAACTATATATAAACCAGACAGACAAAAATTTTAAAAAATATTTATTTGAATTTTTAAAATTTTTGTCTCTCGGTTTTTCTTTTTGTACTGGCATTAACCAGATATTAATCTGGAAGGGCTGGACGAATTTTGCAAGACTTTTATTGGCAGGTAGCCTATGTACTAACGAATAACATAGGCTACTTTTACTTTGGAAAATTGGAACAAAAAAGTTATGTACTAAAATTCATATTCTACGCGAAGTCACGGGCAACAGGTATATATATATATATAGTTAGATTATAAAAATACGTATACAGACACTAAAAATATCAATGTGTGCTTAATAGGCGAATGTTTTTATACACATTACTATGAAATTACCCACACATACATTGTATAATGCCGTAAACGATAGTTGTGTCGATGTGTGGGGTACGCAGTAATTTGCGTTGCCGAGTGTACAAATCCAGACACCATTACGATTTATTACTATTCTCATTGTTAGCTTTACCTATTGTATTTGTAATTCATTATCATAATAAGATGTACCTATTCATCGAAAACAACTTCATATTAAACTTTATTTTAAAATCGTTTTTAAATTACATATTCATTTAAGACTAACAATATGTATATTACGTACACGTAAATTAATGTATAAGTTCTTAAATATGCAATCTGAATAATGTAGTATCTAAGTAATTAATATCGTAATTACTTAGATTTAATTTTGGTTTTATAAATACACAAATATTGATTACAAAAATAAACTAATAATTTATTTTTGTCATCAAACATGTTTGACACCACTATCTTTGAGATAGTAGCTTGCGAATGAATAAATGTCGCTTTATTAGAATCCTTACTAATATTATAAATCTGAAAGTGAGTTTGTTTGTTCCACCTTCACGCCGTAACTACTCAACCGATTGCTTTGAATTTTTGCAGACGTAAAGTTAGAAGTCCGGATTAAATAATAGGGTACTTTTTAACCCGGAAAATATTGATATTCCCGAGGAATGGCGCTGTGTGTATTGGTAAATGTCACATAGGCTACTTTTTATTCTTTTGTGACGCCAGCGAAGCCGCGGGTAAAAGCTAGTAGTATTATAAACTAAATATTAATAAGCATACATTTGTTGTAAATTATTGCTTTAAAAGAGTGTCTAGTACAAAAGACGCGTTATTGTTAATTATATGCTAATAGCTACAGGTAAAGAAAAAACTATGAGTGTTATTTTTTTTATTTATTTTATTTTATTTTATTTTATGTTAATACGGTTTACACCAGTTACATTAACATGTACAGATATCAAAACAAACATCGTATGTATCACATAGGTATCATTCAATTTGTAATTTAGACTTTTTTTAGTCTTCATAGTCATATTCGTACCATGGTTCTTATAAACTGACCGTGTCTGTTTTATAATGACTGTAATGTGTGTTGAATAAAGGAATTATAAACAAACAGGTTGAACAAATATTGTAATAGGTTTAAGTTTATTTTCGTATCTTAGAATGAAGTATTTTAGCTCTTGCTGTAAACTTTTATTTTTAAATAAATATATGTATGTAATTTCTGTTGTTAGAATAAAGTTTACGAATGTAATAAAAATAAAAACAATATCTATAGATAAAAGCATTAGAAAAAAGAGGTTTATAGAAATAGGCGCACACAACATTTATTTTTTGAAATGAATTCAAACGTATTTGTATTTAGTACTTGTATTAAAAAACAAAATTTCAAAATCCTAATTTTAGTTAGATTTAACCGCTTGAATGCACCGATATGAGACACAATAGAAAATACATTGTGTCTCACGTGGATCCGCGTTTAGACACATGAAAGTTAAATGATTAAACAATGCCATTAAACTGTCAAACACCAAGCGGTCACCGGTGACCGCAACCTATTGTTCTTTAATTGTGTCTATAAATACGGTACTCGACGAGTTAAGCCATGAATATTAGAGAAAATATGGCCATAAAAAGCCCAAATACCTACTCGACCTACCTTGAAACTAAATTTATGTCACTTTTATTACAAAGTGTACCCTCAAAATAAAAAGTTTGAGCATTAATCACCATGCTTCTTGAATGCGGGTTGGCGATTACAAACTTCTAATTAGAAATTATAAGCCCAGGTGTCCTCACGAAGTTTTCCTTCACTGTTTGTCAGTGGTGTCTAGATAGTCTTAGAAAGTACATATAACTTGGAAAAAGTCACATTGGTACTTGTCGTTGGTAGGTTTTGAACCCGCATCCTCAAGCATGAGAACACCTGGGCCAACACAAGTATGTTTTTTTTACTACCCTCTAGTGAATAGACTATAGTTACATACGAGTTCAAAATGTTCAAAGACCCATATCACAATGAATTGAAGTATACAGTTTTATCTATTTAGAATTTGAGATAAACAAAATACAACTAAGCAGTCAAACTGAGATAAGACAAGTCTCTTAATGACAAACTTTGGTATTTGTAAACTAGAGATAAGTCAAAAACATATCAAAGTTGCACATAGTAGATGGTAAAGGAAATAATAATTGATGAAGATTGTTCAGGATGAACGATATCCTACTGCAAGCCTTGATAGACTCTAATAGTGTCACAGGATAACAAGGCCAGAGATGTCAGCAGAATTGACTGAAAACAAACCAATTTGCACGTATGTAGTCTAGCTCCCTGTTATATTGGTTAAGTGCATTTGAATAGGGTACATTGTAGCACACTAGACCTAGTTAAAGAACTGCATTCCTATCATAGCAGTATAATGGGTTTCAACTGTACACTATTGGGTTTTCAAGGTGATGTCTATAAGGTAAAAAATGCAAAATTTGGGCCTATAGATAATGAGTAAGTAGAATGGTTTATTCCACTTTGTTCACCTGGGTGATTTCACCTAGGTGAACAAAGTAGACTTTTTGGAGTCCTCAATTCACCTGGGAATTATTTCACCCAGGTGATATCACCTAGGTGAATTGAGTTGACTCAAGTAGTCTCCTTTGTTCACTTGTCAATTTAATTCACCCAGGTGCACAAAGGCGACTTTTTACTTTTACGTTGTGGACTTATATCACCTACCTACCTTACATCAAGTTAAATAAAAACTTTCAATTTAACATACATTTTAATATGTTCAAATATCAGATTAATGTTGGTCTTTTACACATACAAAAACATATCTCAATTTCTAACACTACGCTAGGAGTTCCAGCTTATAGCTGTACACTGGGTATAATTACGAACGAAATTTTATTTCCACATGTGGTCTGAAAATACGTGTAAATGTTCATTGAAGTGTACCTACTTTGCGATGCCGCCAAAACTATGTATCTATACTTGTAATAAATCTGTAGAGAGGTCAATTCTGTACACGAAATATATTTCCAAAATAATTATCAGGGGGTGATTGCTACTAAGTAATGCCAAAAATGCATACAGTAAAATTTTTGTCTGTCTGCCTGTATGTTCCTTATAGAAAAGACTACTCGACGCATTTTAACGAAACTTGGTTCATGGTATATGGTATGATGGAAGTATACTTTAACTTCCCCAGGAGTATGAAGAATGATTGAACCAAGTTTCGTTATTTCGTTCGATATTTGAACATATTAAAATGTATGTTAAATTGAAAGTTTTTATTTAACTTGATGTAAGGTAGGTAGGTGATATAAGTCCACAACGTAAAAGTAAAAAGTCGCCTTTGTGCACCTGGGTGAATTAAATTGACAAGTGAACAAAGGAGACTACTTGAGTCAACTCAATTCACCTAGGTGATGTCACCTGGGTGAAATAACTCCCAGGTGAATTGAGGACTCCAAAAAGTCTACTTTGTTCACCTAGGTGAAATCACCCAGGTGAACAAAGTGGAATAAACCAGTAGAATGTGTAGGTAAACGAGTTTTGTTTACTCACAAAAATTTTCACATGAGTTTTTACTTTTTACATTCCACAGTCTCTGCCATGCTCCATGAGGGACAGGCGTGTTGATAATGTATGTATGTTTCTACTTTTAACTTATAATATAGTTAACACATTAAGATTAAACTTTCGCATTGCTACCATTATATTGAAAGTAAAAACACAAAAGCAATCATTCATGGTTCAAATAATATAAAAGCTATGTTGATCTGCTTATGTTTAATTCATGAAGCAAGCAAGCATGAAGGAATAATGCTTAACTGCAAACTGGGTTCACTTATAAAATTCGGGCTTAAAATGTGGTGAATTTTTATAAATATTGATGACATTAATACTTTAGTCACATAGTAGTCACAATAAGGGTAATTAGTAATTATATTTCTCATATTTGGCACAATATTTAGCAACTCATGTATACTAGGGAAATAGACAAAGCCTGGTCCAGACACTTTAAGGGGTAGCATTCTTATAGTAATTCCAAATTTAAAATTAATGACTTAAAAATGCTGAGATCTGTTTATTTTGATGCACACATGAGTAATCTAGATGACTTTAAAAAAAAATTACTTATAGGTATAGCTTAGCTCAACAACAAAGATTGGAAGTTCACGTAAAAATATAAAAATCGCGTAAAGCGACCATATACAATAAATTTAAAAACCAATGTTGTGTTATAATTAGTTTTAACTAGAGCGTTGTTAAAGTGAAGTAAAAATACTTACATACTGCAAAGTAGACTTCGTATACGCCTTCGTTCACCAACGTAACGTTACTTCCGAAAAATAAGGATTTCTGCCCTGATACGATCTATTTCTGACAACTAATGACATGACAGGCCTTCATACCCACTTATTATATATACTCTTTGGGCCTTCATCTGTGTGTGAGACTGTGACCATAGACTGTATAGTTTCATAGCATAGATATATAACATAGATGTGTGAGTGTATTGTCTACGGGTAGAATTTAAGATCCATCTCGACGGTAAATTCATAAACATACTGTTGTTTCTTTTTTACTTTTTTTTTAGACTAAAGCAAAAAATTTATTTCGCTAACTTACTTTTTTTTTTTTTTTGCACTGATAACAGAGACCAAGATGGCGAATTCGGCAGGACTATAATTTGATGACGTCAAAAAATTATTGCCAGAATGACAATAATGTGTTGTCTCTTTCTGCATAAGCAAAGAAACATAAGTAAAAAAGAAACAACAGTATGTTTATGAATTTACCGTCGAGATGGATCTTAAATTCTACCCGTAGACAATAGTCACACATCTATGTTATATATCTATGGTTTTTAATATGTATTTTGACCACAAAATACAAAATTGAGGTTAAAATAGATAATAGCCCGGTCAATTTACACATTCGAAGTTACATAAATTCCGAACAAGCTGAATTTCTGTCAAGTTGTTCAAACCATAATTACAAACAATCTCTAAAAGTTCCCCATCATTCCCCAGTAAGGAAAAAAAATAATTCAAGGTCAAAGGTCAAAAAAATGAGTTTATCGCGATTTTCAGCAAAACGGTAAGGTTCTATCATAAAAGTACCGAGATGGACCATCTCGACGGTAAATTCGTCTTATAGTTGAATTAATGACACGACTGACCATAGACTGAATAGTTTCATTCACTGAGACACTGAGACAAAACTTTGATATTTATTTAAAATATAGTTTTAATTTTATAAAAGAAGTTTACAAAAAATAATGATAATTTTTTAATTTGTATTATTAAAGTGTGGAATTTGTGGTGCCAATTTATCTATATCCGTTTATTGTCAGTGGTCTATGTGTGACAGAAAATAAATACAATAAAGAATAAAGATTGACATTTTATTCTTTGGTGAGTGACTATTGATTTCCTTTTGTGATTAAATGTGTTGCTTAAAAAATGTCAATAGAAGCTAACTCATTGTGAAAAGATTTAGAAAGCATCTGTTGACAAACTGCTATGCAGATTAGCGGAAGTTAAAATGTTAAAATTTTCTTGTTTATAATTAGTCAGTCAGGCCCAGAACAACAATTTGTAGATCACAGAAAATATTGTTCCATACTGACCTAGATGTGCAACCCATTTATAGCAATCAATTTTGGGAGGTAGACTCTAAAAAAGACATAGTTTCTGTGTATTTGTGATAACTTTGTGTTGGTTTATTTACCAATTATTACTGGCAAATCCTCCATTAATTTCGGTCACCAGTAACCCTGTTGTTTAGCGTGTTAAATTTTAGTTGCTAATGGTGGCTTATTTTTCTCTAGTGTTAATTCAACATGGAGTCTGCTGGTGATTGGTGTCTAATAGAAAGTGATCCAGGTGTCTTTACACAGCTCATCAGAAAGTTTGGTAAGTTCAGCTAATCTTTTGTTTGTACTGTTAACTATTATTCAAATATGTGCATGTTTTATGTCTTACTACATTGTTTAGTGAATGATTCTATTATATGACCTGCCTATCTACCTAAATCTTTGTTCTGACTAGGGATAGGTTCTAATTTGTTGAGGATTCAGTTATGTAGCAATGAGTATGAACAGATGTTACAAGACAAAGCTCTATTAGAACAATAGCTACATGGGGCCAATTGTCGAATTATACATCTTGAAACAATAAACCTTAATATCACGGCCAGTCTGAATGACAGTCTCTCCAGTGAGTTGATGTCAGCCCGTGCTTCTCAATCAAAAGATGTTGGTACACTTGAATCCAGTGATAGTAATTCATGTTATTCCATAAAAACACTTTGTTCTAGTAACACAAGAATTAAGAAATACACAATAATTCATAAATTCAAAACTAAAACTTACAGAGTAGTTAAATAAAAGACCAAAAATCTTTAAAAAGAATGTTAAATTACATAAAGAATGAATGAATTAATATTTATTCTATGAAATACTGACACCCAAAAGCTACAATCAGAACTGGAACTTACAATCATTTAACATTTAAGTTACACATCATGACCAATAAGTATAGTGCACCTGAAAAACTAATAAGGGAATACATGTTGGCAATAAATGAGTTAGTGCGGTCACAGGAAAACCAATGTGAAAAATGTGATTCCAATAATGTAGGTACTGTTTGCTTGTTCCAGTTTGTTGTTTCCTACCATTGCCTTTAGCCAAACGCCACTTTAGCGCTTGTCTACAAAATCAAATCAAATCACTTTTATTTGTTAACATGCACCTAGCATGCAGATATAGGTCTTATATATATATATATAGATCTTATACAAAGAGAGTAGAAAACTAAATGTATGAGTATGACACTGACAAGTGTCAAAATTTACGTCAATTCCATATAATTTACTTTTCGAGTCAAGTAGACAACTTAACTCGTCGAGTACCGGTTTTATAGACACAATTAAAGAACAATAGGTCGCGGTCACCGGTGACCGCTTGCTGTTTGACAGTTTAAGTTAATCAATAATTAATCACTGTAATGTTGTAATATTCCTTATAACTAAATGCAGTAAATTTACAACACCAAATGTTAGACATGTGAAAACCAGCATGCTAATTTAGAGAGAGGAGTTGAGCGCTTTAGAGTTATAACCCTAGACATTAAGCCCCAGTGGGCTCCACATGTAGATATGTTGTTGAAAAGCCTTATTCTGCAAGATATGCAATTAAAAATTTCGAAATTTAACCCATGTATGTATATACAGCGCAACTAGTTAGTTTCATGTTAGAGTGATCCTCTACAATGACACCTTCACAATGACTTTGTTTTGCAGAAGAGGGCTATTCAAACAATTTATAATGTTAGTCCGAGGCACTGTCTCAGGTACTATTTAAAGAAATTAATGTAATCACCAATGTATCTCAATACATTTATGGAAATGTAGTAAAAAACAAAAGTTTATTGAAAAAGTATAGGCATATACGTAATATCAACACAAGAGGTAAAGGTAAATATGCTGTTCCTACTTTTAGACTTAAGAAAATAAGTGGTATGTGCAGATGTCAGTGTATACTCTTTTGCAATAGAATTCTCAGACAAATTATAAATTTGAGCCTTAATTTATTTAAAAATGTCATTAAAGATAAACGATAAAGCCTTTTATAACATAAAAAACTACCTAGATGATGGTCAGGCTTGGGAATAAGCTGCTGGAACATCCACACAGGTCATGTTGACATGTTTGTAACATATAGTTGCATTACTACACAATTTGACATCTGTATACTTTGACTGAATATTATCTACCATTATTTTTCATTATATTCTTTTTCTTATGTTGGTACATGTTTAAATTATTTTTAACAATTGTGAGTGAAAGGACCATGTGAAACTTTGCCTATTTAGTTATTTCATGTTTATATTCTCACAGTTTGAGTATGTGTGCGGTCTACCTAAATGTTCTTTTGGTTGGCATTGTTCGTCATTCAGCAACATCCGTTACTTGAACTGATTGGAAACTGACACATGTGTGCTGCCATCAGGACAGGTTCTCTCAAACTGTTGTGGATAACCCCAGTGTGGGGCAACATTGTATTTAAAAAAAGAAATATACAGGGTGTAAACGGAACACTCCCGAAAAACGCTGACAAAAATAATAGTTTTTAAAATTTTAATCGTTGTTGTTTACATGTTATTCATACAACGGTTAGCCTTGAGCGGTTAATTACAACAATTATTACATAAAGGAAACATTTAATTCCCTACTTTCATGAAAATAAAACTGGTTTTTGACCATAATCTGTCGGCGTTTTTCGGGAGCGTTCCGTTTACACCCTGTATATTTCCTTAAAAGACCATTCCAAAATCAACTTGCACATTATATTCTGTCTGGATTGTTCTATTGGACTGTCGGCGTTTCTTCTCAGAGTAGTAAGTTAGACAATGGCGGCCCTCAATTTAAAGTGTTACTTTTGTAACCTATGTGCAGAAATAATAACATTACCTTTCATTTCAATAAAAAAAATCTAGAATATAGATCATCATAGCTAAGAAGATTATGTTAGGTACCTTACAGATGCATTCCAAGTACCTATATGCGTTCTCTCTATAACCATTCCTATAATCTATAATATGAACAGGTAAATGTGTTGCTAAGCGTTAATATTGAGAGCAGCTGATTTTCCTAATAGTTTTTTTTTGTTGTATTTGTTAGTGCTAGAAGGTTCTTATGTCAGAAATAAAATATGTAAGGAGGCAAAATTCAGTTCATGGGGTCCGCTAGTATCGCAGTATCTCTGGTTATATTTTTTGATACTAAGCAAAAAAATGCCCCTTTTAACCCAATTTGATTACACATTCATGTGGTAACAAGCTATCATATCCTATTTAATGAAAAATGGCTGAATGCAGTGTTACAAAGACGATTTAATTTTTAACATATTTGCTTAAATATTGTTTTGTTTTGCTTATTAGGTGCCAGTGGTGTTCAAGTTGAGGAACTTTGGACAATTGAAGATGGCATCTTCGAAACACTGAGGTAGGTTTGATATTCTTTGAAAGATAAAAAAAATATTTGAACATTCATATCTCATACATCAATATTAAGTACGTAATTCTTAAATAAATAAATAGTATTTTGCCAAACAGATGTTATTGATCTGTTTATAAAGAGAGATTATGTTTTGAATTTATGATTGTAATTGTTATAGGCCTGTGCATGGACTCATATTCTTGTTCAAATATCTGCAACATGAAGAACCAGCTGGTCCAATCGTTACTGACAGTCGTCTCGACAAGATCTACTTTGCCAAACAGGTTTGTCTCTGTGTTTCTTATTACCGTTTTAGCTAAGCACCCCTAAAATACTTACTAATATTATAAATCTGAAAGTGAGTTTGTTTGTTTGTTCCACTTTCACGCCGTAACTACTAGACCGATTGCTTTGAATTTTTGCAGACGTAAAGTTAGAAGTCCAGTTTGAATAATAGGGTACTTTTTATCCAGGAAAAAATTTATATTCCCGAGGGAAAACAAAACTATTGGTATAGATGGCGCTGTGTGTATTGGTATTTGTGACGCGAGCGAAGCCGCGGGTAAAAGCTAGTAAAGTTATAAAACAAAAAATTTAGGAGAGGTTTAAAAATCTATCTTAATCTTAACTATTAAATAAAACTGAAGAGTTTGTTTGTTTGAACGCGCTAATCTCAGAAACTCTAGTGTTGGATAGTCCAATTATCGAGGAAGCCTATAGGCTATAAAAATCACGCTACGATCGACTACGCTATAATCACATTACCATTGCACTATGTTTGTATTACAATATCAACTTGGTTTAATACATTTTACGGTTAAGTGTAATATGACGAGTTGTATTTGGTTTCTAGGTTATAAATAATGCCTGCGCTACACAAGCTGTGGTTAGTCTGCTCTTGAACTGCGATCATCCTGATGTCGACTTGGGTCCAGAACTGAGCAGCTTGAAGGAATTCAGCATGTCTTTTGATGCCAAGATGCGTGGCCTGACACTTAGCAACTCTCAGACTATCCGCAGTGCTCACAACTCTATGGCACAACAGAGTATCTTCGAGTTCGACCCAAAGACAGCTTCAAAGGTATCATAATCAAATCAAAGTGACCATATGTTTGACAATTAGACTTTATGGGCGTTTTTGAAACTAGAATATGTCTTTTGGTAAAGCTACTGGCTTGTTTCTAACAGAAGATTATTATTGAGAAGAAGGATGTACATGATTATTCCTTTTTAATTGCTTCCCATCAGTAAAAAAGAATTAGTTTGTAGAACGATAAGCAGGAATTATTTTACCACCAGAATTCAAAACAGCTGTGTTTCAGGATGACGAAGCGTATCACTTTGTTGGCTACATGCCAATAGACGGCCGTCTCTACGAGTTAGATGGCCTTCGCGAAGGTCCCATTGATCATGGCCCCATTGCTCCGGAGCAGGATTGGCTTGATGTCGTCCGGCCAATCATTGTACGCAGGATTAATGTGTATGTATGCAAACTATACATATTATATCTTCTTTTTTTATGTCACTAGCTACTTCGCACGGGTGCAATGTGCATGTACTATACATATAAACCATCCTTAAGAATCACGCCATCTATTAAAAAAAACTCCATCAATTCGTGTTTCAGGTACACTGAAGGCGAGATTCACTTCAATCTCATGGCCCTTGTGTCGGACAGGAAGATGATCTACGAGAGACAGCTTCAAGACCTAATGGCCGAATCTCAGATGATGGGAATGGAAACAGATGAGATGGAAAACGAAATTCCAAGACTCAGAATGTTGATTGAGTATGAAGACGTGAAAATGATGAAGTATAAACAGGAAATGGCTCGTCGGAGGCATAATTACTTGCCATTTATCATCACGCTTCTTAGAATATTAGCAGAAGAGAAGAAGCTGCTGCCACTGCTCGAGAAGGCCAAGGAGCGTGCTAATAAAAAAGGCCCGAAGAAACAAAAAGTATAACATTTGCATGGGGCTGGACAGCGGGTCGAACGCGCGCGAAGTTCGCGGCGTGACTCGCAGTCCAGCCCCTCGCGCGTGTTGCCCGCCGCCGAACATTATTCCCTTGCAGATTTAGATGCCATATATAGAGATCCCCAAGATTTATTATTTAATATAGAACCACAGCAAATTTTAGAACAAGCCATGGTGGAATCCCATGAAGTGTTAGATCGATCTATTTTCGCGCACGCGGTGACTCGCAATAATCATGTTTTGGACTCTGATGATAGCAAAGACTTTTTAGGTGATTCGACATCACAAACCGGTTTAATATCTGATAACATTGAGACTGAAGACATGGAACTTGACACGGACATTGCCCAAGAAATCGATCCTCTGTTGGATGTAAAGCCACCCGAACCTGATTTTGATACAGACTAAAGACTCGCCAGTAGGCAGTGTAAGTTTAAAGTGCTTCGAAAATAAGTGATATATTATATTAAAAAGACGTCGAAAAACATTACCTAGTAATAATATAGTGTCGCTATGTGTATTCGGCTAAAACTTGCGTGCTTTGTAAAAAAAAAGTTTAACAAAATTGTAATGTATCTATAAATTTATAAAGGCACAAGTTATAAATCTGGGGTGTTGATGTATTTGGTTATAATAAAACTGCAGAATTAAAAATACGTACATTTATTTACTAACAGTATTCGTGTGTGTAACTTATAACTGAGCACAGTTCACGCCAAGCAATGTCTCAAGAACAATATTGAATCGTAGGCGATAAGTAGGTAGGATTGTCACTGAGCATTGCTTGATAGTATCTTATTCTATGTAGTGGGCATTTGTTAGTAACAAGCTACAGAGTCGTAGAGTATAATATCTTTACATAGTTGTGCAAATTATTTGATGTTGATAGTATCCTAACTTTCATGTAATTTGTCTTTATAAATACATAATATAAATAGTATTGTGTTGGTATTACTCCAACTTGTTGCTACGTAGGCAGATATCAGGTACATAGTATGTGCTACTGGTTAATGACAGCAATGTGCTAGTATACATTTATAAAATAGTTATTAAAATCATATATTAAAGCATACTATAATAATGTTATATCATATTTCAAAAGTGCATTTATTTTATATTTATTTAATGTGAAATTCAATTTATTCTCGTTAACTCCGAGCTGTAATATTATTATGTTACACATAAGTATTGTTGTCATTTTGTTTGCTTCTTATAGACCGCTGTATAATAGTAATTATTTACACCTTATTACAAAATTTACTTACATCTACATTATAAACCTAATTAACGAAAGATTTTTATGTATCAAGTTTACATGAGTAATAAATTAATGAATTTGGGGTGTGATGTGGCACTTCAAACATAGGCTAGCATCTGTTATTTACATCGGGGTACATTTACCGGTACAATGGCGAAGATGCGGTGACATTGGCATGATGATGATTTACGAGTAGTTATTTACAGAGATAGGTACAATATTGAGCTTAGCTGCCTGCTATGTTCGATGTCATTACATGGATTCGGAAAGCAATCCTGTCGACCTGACTAATTACATATATTTGTACGACCGTTGGATTTGAGTCGATTAAATCGTTGGACAGTATCACAGATTAGTTGCTTCAGTTCAATTTCGACTAAAACGTATTCCTGGGCTAAGCTTTAGGAGTTATCGTTATAGTTTGTAAGTCGAATCCAGGTAATGAGTGAACAGAGGCTGGATAAGTTTTGTAGTGTTGCGCTGTCACTGGGACGCGCTTCACGTGTTGGGCAGCAAGCCTTTGGGTTTTATCATCATGGATGCACGCTTCAGTGTGTAGTCCCAGCCTCGCCAACGGAACCAGACGATGCCTGGAACACATAAAATAAAGTCATATAGGCGCAAAGGTACACAACCATGCGCTAAACAATAAACTTAGTTATTTTCAACTCTACTGCGTAATTTAGAACAGTGGTAAAATTTATACTAGTTAAAGTATAGGTATTCATTATAATATACTCGTATTATGGAATGGCTTCGTTAAAAAGTATGTATGTATTTGTATGTCACCTTGTCTGGCAGTGAGGTCCTGTGGGTCGTGCAAGTAAAGGCCGTTGAGACCTCGGCCGCAGGACTTCCACCACCATCCTCCCTTGAGCATGGACGCGCAATTCAGCGACGATCTGTCATTATCCCTGTTAATAACAGAACATATAGAATTATATTTAATTAAATGTAAAAAAAATAAAAAAATAGAGATGACCTTTCTGATTTTTCCTATCACTCCTATATCTAGTATAATGTATGGATAGAAATCAGAAGCATCAGAAGTATTTTTCTTATTATAGCAAAACGTAAAGAAACAGTATAGGATATGTTTGAACATAATATTAATTATTATAATTATACTTAATCATTCTGTATGTTTATATATTTTATCAATATGTATTCTGTGTAAATGTGAACGACAACTACTTGTACTCTATAACTTTGTGTGTTAAAAGACATGATGTCTGATGGTTATATTGATACAGACGAAAGTCTATTGTAAAACACCTATCAAACTTAATATTGTATTTATTGTCTAATTTCATTAACACAATACGTATTTTAATATCTATTGTATTTTTTATGTCTTAACATGTCCTAACATCTACAAACTATATACTTATACTATATATTTATTTTAACACAAGATTATGGTGTCTAATGTAATGGTATTAAAATGTCTTAATTGATTTATTCGTAAAGATGACTGGCTTGCGGAGTAAAGCTTCAGTATGATTCTATGAGGTCTAGACATGTGTGTTATAATTAAGTTCGCTTGACCGGAGAGATAACACGCCTCTCTAAAAACCGGCGTGGAACAATGCTTGTGTTGCTTTTCGCTCTGTGAGTGAGATCTTGTAGCACTTCTGGTGTTGCAATGGACGGCGCCGATGCTTGCCATCAGGCGATCTATTTGTACAAAAGTATAAAAGTTAGGTACATACCTGTTGTAAGTAGAGAAGGGGCTGTTGTTGGAGCCGTACCAGGGGTCGTTGAGAGAGTCACCAGCGTTGCCCTCGTAACCATCTATCTCCAGCTTATAGTATTCCGCTTCAGAGTAAATCTTGAAGTGCGAATACTGTGCGTACCTGTATCAGTGATACATTGTTATTACAAATATCTGGTAGTCTTCTAAGTGTAATAATGGCTGCTAATAATACTCTAGCTGAAGTCCATGACAGTAGTCTGCTTACTCTGCTTTTATCAATTGGGCAGGGTATCAAAATTAAAAATCTAATTAGTCCGTCAGTTAGATAATGAAAAATATTAGACACGTATTTTTTTATTTTCTCGTATTAGGTAAGTTGGAATACTTAGATAAAATGGCGCTAAGTTTAGGAGTGGGTGGTCGTTACGTCATAACGTGCTACAAAATGTGGCACGCTGTGACGTCACACGCTATTTCAAATTAATATATCGTTGAAAGTATTTAATTTTGTGAGAAAAGAAAAAATACGTGTCTAAAGTTTTAAATTAATCTACCAAACGGACATTTAAATAAAATTTAGGAAACTACCCTATTGTGGCTCCATAACGTTCTACATAGCTATGTTAGGGTGTGAAGTCGTATACAAAAAACCAGATCGTTATTTATCCAGTCTCGCAATCAGCAATTTGAAGCACTATTTACTTATTAGGTTAATGTCGTACTATATAACACTCAATCAAGTGTATAGTGATGACAAAGCAGGTGATAAAACTAAGTAAGTATGTTCACCTACGCAACACCTACGATGTGACATGTTATTAAGCGTTGGATCATTCGATATTACAGCAGATAGACAATACAATCAAACTATAATTTTCTTTATTACATTTTCAACAATATTGTTTTGTAATAAGATCGAGAATCTGTTGAGGATTCTGACAGTGTAGGGTAGTTTGATGAGCTGTCTACCGACTTCGGTCTTACCTTTTATTCCCGTCGAAATCTTCAAGTTCCACTCTAAGCATGTAGTCATCGTTATTGGTCAACATGTAGATGTTTTCGTTACCCAGCCAGAATTCCTTGCTGGGATCACCGAACCCGTTCTTATAATCGTTCCAATCTCGGTTGAAGTTCTCTGCAGGAACCCCGTAGTCATCACGGCGGTGTATCACCTGATGAACAGAAAATAGTATTTTGTATGTAGTAGCTTATAAATTAACTTATTCAGTTTTAATTCAATCTTAGAATATTCTATTATACAATTGACACTCTTGCGCATTGCTAATTGCAATTGACAAAAGAAAAATCTATATCTACAGGTAAACATAGAGATATTTTCATAGTTAACCTTTTGAACGCCAGAGCAAAAACACATGAACCTGCCCTCAACGCCAAGCCACAAATTCCGCGCAAATTTCTACGGAAGAAATAGGGATTCCAATAGGGAATCAAATTGTTGATTTCGTGTTTCCGGTTCCGCTTTTTCTGTCATGTATTTGTGTCGTTGGCGTCCAGGGACAGTTTTCACTTGTCACTTATATGTGACATCGGCGCCTCAAAAGGTTAAAAGTAAATATACCTATATTACATCTTTTGCTAAAAGGTGCTTATTGTTATAGTATTTGGGTCATAAATTCATCATAAATATAAATCACCTACGCAATTTACTAAGGAATAGGCTAGTTTCTTAGCACAAGTTGTCAACTTGTTTTTCTATAGAAAAATGAAGCTTTTGTAAAAAACTTTACACACATCTAGACTATTAGACTAGATGGTAGAGGTAGGTTCTATATTATATTATATTCTAATTGAAATTTTCTTGATACGGACATATAACACATAATTAGTTAGTATATTTACATATATACCCTTCTAGATTTATCATGAAGTTAATACTTCATATGGATCACTGAGAACAGACAGACAGGAAAATTTTAGAAATAGTCTAGTGTCTTAGAATTAAGCTCTAGATAAGTACAAAAAATTACTAATAGGTCTATTTAATGTATACATAGCTAGATTATTAGATACTAGCTTTCCGACCACGGTTTCGCATGCGTTTTACATATAAACCTTTGTCTTGAATCACTCTAGGTATCTATTAAAAAAAACTGTTGCGTAATTTTCAAGATGAGGCCCACAAGGCGGAAAGCGAATTTATATTATACTATGTACATTATATTGTATGTATATTAAAATTTTCTTTATAAGAACACTAGCTGACCCGGCGAACTTCGTACCGCGTAATACTCTAATCTACTCTATCCCACTCTACCCTACTCTATCCCACTCTACCCTACTCTATCCCACTCTACCCTACTCTATCCCACTCTACCCTACTCTATCCCACTCTACCCTACTCTACCCTATTCTACTGTACCCTGAAAAATAGACTATCCTATCTCTCAAGTTGGATCAAACTGCACATGGTGTGCGAATTTTATTATAATCGGTTAAGTGGTTTAGGAGTCCATTGAGGACAAACATTGTGACACGACATTTATATATATTAAGATAAATACTTAGTATATTTACGGAAGTATATCCTTCTAGATTTTAATATGTAAGTAGTTATTAATAGTTACTTCATAATTATGAATCCACTGGGAACAGACAGACAGGAAAGTTTTAGTAATAGAGCCTTAGAGTTAATGTCTAGATACTAAAATTTATTATAAGGATCATAATTATGTATACATAGCTACATTACTAGATAGGTACTAGCTTTCCTCTCGCGCGTCGCTCGCATATTACATATAAACCATAACTCTACCTATCTATTGAAAACATTCCATCAAAATCTGTTGCGTATTTCTCAAGATCTCAGCATACAGGCATACAAACGGCGGGAAGCGACTTTGTTTTACACTATGTAGTAACTGCATTTTAGTAGTAGGTAGCTGCATTGTATTGCATTCAAATTGAAATTTTCATACATATTACATATTATATATGAACTCATAAATACATAGCATATTTATATAATATTATCCTTCTAAATTTAAATCATTAAGTTAATACTTCATTATGGATTCACTGGGAACAGACAGACAGGAAAATTTTAGAAATGGTAATTCTAAGAAGAATTAATGTCTAGATGATAAAAAAATATCAATAGGTTACTAAGTTCATATTTATGTCTGCTCTTAATTTCATAATAATGGTATTTAATACTGTCTATTTTATCTACTATGTATGTATATAGCGATATCTCTATTTAATGAAGAATTTAATCTTGAAATTTGGATGTTGAAATTAACGTTATCTGCTTGGTACGAATGTGATCGTTATTGGTTCATTTCGATTATGTATATGTACCTTCATTGTGGAAATGTGATGTATAATGTATTGTATAAAAATAAGGAATGTCTTTGGCACAAGAAATAGGGATAATGATGGGGCGTGAAATTGAACACCCGTCTCACGTCGGACGTCGTCGGTCGGATAACGGAAAAATATTAGACATACCTACACATGTTTTTTATTTATATAAATCTTATTAGGACAAAAATATATAAAATTAAAATTTAGCACTGGAATCTAGCTACGTCCTCACCATCCTTCAGTATAAAATACTGAGATGTGATAATGCGATGAAAGTTTATGACTCTGTAAAAAAATTGAGAAGACGACGCTGACGATAAAAATATTTAATCATCTTCTCTTAACTTGTTGTAGTTAATGTTATGTGATATTATGGCATAATTATGTATGATGTGTCTATTTTGAGGTTGGATATTTGAGGGTAATGGAAGTTGACTGCACGATTGATGCGGTGTCTGGGCAACCGGCTGCTGGGTGTCACGGGCTCAACTCCCGCATTTGTGTGATTAATTGTTGTTGTGAGTCCGGGCGTGGGTATGTTATTTTGTGAAAATGTATGTTTATAGGTAAAATTATCCATGACTCGAGAAAATTCTAGTGTGGGATAACATTTACAAAAATATATTTTAATGTAGGCAACGAATCGGTTACATGAGTAATTAGACAGGATTCTGAATGGGATTTAAATAAAATAGATTGCTTATTCACTAGATACATAGATAAGTAAGTAGTTGCACTATATATTTACCTATGTAATTAACAATATAAAGTACACTAGATTCTTTATAAACATGGTTTTGATAATCCAAAAAATTCGCTTTCTATGTTATGCCCACACTCTTTAGTTTCTTCATATTTTAAAACATAATAATGTGTACCTACGTATCTATATTTGTATTTTTAATTTTTAATGCTATCTATACCTATAAATAAGTAAATTAAGCGTTTCACCAAGATAAAGAAATTGTTAAATTAACCACTGCTTCTTTGTAATTCTCTGTGTATTTAAAAATAAATAAAATGTTTCTTCTATGAGCAATTCATTTTTTAATTAGTCACTGTTTTATTTTGATTGCAGTTTCTATTGTTTAAAAAGTTGAGGAAGTATAATCTACGTATATTCACAGAATAGTTATGTGAATAACTGATTGTCAACCATCAAATCATAAACGTTCATTCGATTCAGCCTTGGGCAAATAAAACACCACTTTAATACTATAAAATAGATTCCGTTTTCATTTGAGCTTTGCTTTCTGTCTTCCACCGCCAAGATTCGGTTTAAATGACCTAAATAGAGGATACGAGTTTTAAATTTGGTACCTTGTTATGGACCAAGACCCCGACAAACTCACAAAATCGCTGCAACTCCTGTAGGCCAGGACCTACAGTAGACGCAATCATGAAATACTAAAACAATGAAATCCGGTGCGTCTCAGGGTCATGGACAGTTGTCATGATTCCCACAACGAATTAAAACGGAAGATGTCTTTAGACGAGAAATAAACTGTGAGATCTTTGAGACTTTATTTAAAGTAAGCATCTCTATCTACCTAGGGCATTAGTACGTTAGTCTGCACCAGGCAAGTGGTTATTTAGGGCACCTGTAAATCACCTACCATTAAAATATTAATTTAGTAAGTTATAATCCCAACAGAGTAAGATGAGAAGTCAAGGTAATATTTATTAGGAAAGTTTATCCGTTATCGTGTCGGATTTCGAAAACAACATGATCACATAGACATACGAACGTTTCGAAAGCGCCACTAGAAGTGCCTCTCAACAAGGGCATGTTTGAAGAGGCACCAAGTGGCACTTCACGAGAGAAAGGTGTACTTGGGTAACAGTGTGCAACTTACAGTCCAGCCTCCGTCAGCAACGTTCTGCTCGCAGAAGACCTTCAGGAACCAGTAAGTAGTTCCTCTAATCTGCAGGTAGTAGACTCCAGACTCACGCATGCCGCCGTTCATCAGATCCACGCACGAGTACCCCTGGAAAAATATCAGACGTCATTATAGATACGCCCTAACTCAATAACATATTGGCACATAGCGTGTAAGCGCAGCATTTATTAGGTAAGATCACTGCATTAATTTTAGCTATCTCGAAGTTGCGGAAATAATCTGCAGTGCGCCCTGTGCTCGCTTTAAATAAATGTAAATGTGCAACGCCTTATAACATTCTATTCGCATAGGCGTATATTATATTCGCGATGCCTTCAGAATGATAACTCACAATCAATGTGCATAATAAAGAATAACCGTTTGAATGGCATGAGGCGTGTACAAAACCTTTAGTACTGCTCAAACAATGCCATCAATTTTAATGCTACGTTATGTATATCGTTACGCAATATTAATAACTTTCTTTCCCTTTTGGTTTTACAGGGAGATTCATTACGGTATGTACCTACATGCCTGGGCTGTTTGAAACTTTCTCAAAATAATTGCCATTTGTCTAAGTATCGTTTTCTTCGATTGTTTGTCGTTATTGTAATTTTCCGTTTATGGTAGCAAAGCGGCGTGCGTGTCTCAGAAGTACCGACCGACTTAGGTACTTGTCATGTCAACATAATTATTTACGTAAATATTGAGACAAAACTATTCAAATAAAAAGTTTCTAAAAAGGCAGGTACCTATCCCTTAACTTCTCTATAGGAAAATATATCTATAAAATAGAAAAGTAACAAGAAATAGGCCAAACACATTTATGCAAGATATTTAATAGTCAGGTAGTTAGGCACCTACATAACACTTTCATTAGCATTATGGAATACATAATACCTACCTGCATCCATTTTTGTAAATCTTTGGAACTCATTCACAGTTTCTGGAATGTCAATTACGTTGGCATTTACAGACTGTTGAACTGACGGTTCATTAATATCTATATACAATACAACAGTCAGTATTGCTACACAGCACCGTATGATTTTGTTGTCTAACTGCCTTCTGAGTATCGACCAAATCACTTAACGACACAATAATTACTTACGCTCTAAACTTTATTTAGCAATCGTTTTATATTTAAACTTCTTAACCTTATCTTATATTGGCTTTATGAAAATATAGGCTGATGCAAATATGCTACATCAAAACTGCATGTAAGAACTCATTAAATTCTCATTAAGTAACTAGTGGGAAAATCAAATAAAGAAAATAAAACCAACTAGTTTGGTAATTAAACTGTCAAACACCAAGCGGTCACCGGTGACCACGACCTATTGTTCTTTAATTGTGTCTATAAAACCGGTACTCGACGAGTTAAACAAACATGACGGTTGACATATTATGCAGTAAGTACCTATGTAGTAAAATAATAACTTATTTGTAACAAGATATAAATCGTCAAAAGACAAAACAAATCTGATAGCAGTTTGAGAGACAGACAGTCATTCTTCAAATTCTATTTCATATATTATAATGTGTTGGTTCGTTAGCGGTAGACGCGGACCTAAGTCATTAATTTATCACTAGCAAGTAGTTACTAGTTGGACGTGTAATGTGACAGCGTGACAGTCTAATTAATTAACGGCGTACATTTACAATAGCCGTCCAAATGTTTTTGTCATAATCTGTCACTTTCGTTGCAAACACTTGTTTGTTAGCCAACTGTTTGGCAACATCCTGACCATAATTAAGATTATAAAATCACAAAGGGCGCAATACACAATATAGTGAATAGGTACATGTATTGTACCTATTCAAGATAACTAAGCCTACTTTGTATAAGCCTACTTTAGTATCAGAAATGCGGAAACTTCAATCAGTGACAAAAGTCAAAGCTCAAAGGTGAATTTATTGAACGTGACTTCCTGAAAATTAATATATTTTACTTTGAAACAATTATACCCAAAGGAGTTATTTCAATTTTTCACATCTTCAATTGACTGTTAATATGATAAAAAATGTGTGTATTGTTTACACAACGCGGTTTGGATGCAATCTTTAGGATGCTTCGAACATGCAGGCACTGTCAACATGTTCGGTTTGAGTTTGATTTACTCTGAGTGACGTCTTAAGCGGCGTATTATAGGGAAATGACTTCCTGTTTCACGGTAAAGCTTGCGGTTAGAAATCATAATGCACTATCTATGCTTCACTATGGTGTAGTCGGTGATTTATAGATATTATTTTGATTTGCATAAGCGTACCTAATACAGTCTTCGGTTATACAGCTGCAGCCCACGGGGAATATGAAAGTAGACGTTTGTTTTCATCATTTCGACTGACAAGGCGGTCACGATCTGTCGGTGTGCCGACTACATTATCAGATGTCATTGTTACAATACCGCAGTAAGTAGGACTTTAAGTAATTTGTTAACAAGATGTTCTTTTCTATCTTAATGATCTCTTCTATTCAATAGAGTGGTGTTTGATTGTATAATGGGCCTAAATGTTTGACACTTGAAGAACTGTTAAACAAGTTCTCGTTATAAACGTTGTTATGTCAATGGCTCTTCTGTATTTCATAAAACATTTTACTTGAAAGAACTCATGGCCTTTCGAAGGGATGATATAATATATTATATGTACCAAATTTCTGATGTATTCAGAATTTACATAGGTTTGCTCTTAATAAGAATCAGGTCCTAGGTCTAGCTGGATACTTTGTCGCCTGTAATCGGCAGTTTATGCCTATGTAGTTTAGCATATTATTAATGAAGATTAGTGAAGTTAAGCTGCTATACTTTGTCCATAAATTTAATTTAGGTGTCGGGGTACTAAAATAATATTTATTCAGTCACCTGCCCAACTGTAAATGTAATTCCTGCTTGTAAATGTATTGAAATTTCAACAGAGTTTATGTGGGTGTCCAATAACCTGTACAGGAAGTTAATTCGTAAAATTAATGACTTACCTTAACTTAGATAAGTTGGGAAATAACGACAACCTGCTACAGTTGAAATAAATGCTGTTTCATGTAGATTCTATTTAGGTATCGAATACTTATTGATTAGTTCGTTGCAATAGTACCTATACGTTTATATTCTATCGATTTTTTTAATAGATATCTCTACACACCTATTCCGGCCAATTTAATTTATCCTTCAAATATCGCACGCTCATGTGACCTAATCTAAGAAGTGTAACAATAAAACAATTACTTATACAATATTTGTAGTTGCAGTACTGTAAGCAATGCGAAGTATTTCGGAATTGTTGCGAGCAAACAGTAAGCACAATGTAAGTATTCGATTGCGTTCGTAACATAACGTAAGTATTTGGAGCGACATTTTTTGCACAGGTGCAAGTCGTGCGCGATAGGTGAACATGTTATAAAACGTTGCATCATGCAGCTCCACATAACCGTCAGTTTTCGTACGTTAAGAACAATAAACACTTGTAATCATTGGTAATTGTCGCACGGTGAGAACGGCAGGTTTTTGCGCGGGCGCTCACAAAGCCGCGGAAAGCATAGCCCCAGTGTGTGTATGAGTGCGATGCCGAACCAGATTTACGTAATGAGAGCCACGCAACTTTCCTTGAACGGAAATGTCGAGTCTCAACTTGGCGCTTTTTGACGACAGCGACGCACCAGTTGCAAAGCTTCGTTCTTGCGAAGTTTACTTATGAGCCAACAATTTTTAAACATCTTTAATGTTTTGATTTTGCGTAATTTTTGCATACTTTTTGGTAGGATATATTTAACCGTGGGCTATGGAATTGAGACCTAAATTGCAGATTTTTAGTTAGCTACGCCTTCTACTCTTTAGATTAAAAAAAACTTGTTCGTGCCCATGGTGTGGTAGAATATTTGGTTAAGGTTTAATATTTGGTTAAAAATTAATTTATTAGATACCTAAACCTAAATACCTGCCCCTACAGTAGTCCGATGTTATAAATGCTAGTTAAATTACACGAGCAATACCTATTAACTTTATACGCATTTAGTCTGAATGTATGTTCCGGTAACTGCATACCAGAGCGTGTATTGCACAGTATTTTGTGTTCCTTATTGCTTCACCGGGAGACGTAAATGGTAGTGTATCGGAGACTGTCTGCGAGTTGCGCACAACCAGACCGACGGGCGCTGATTAAAATTCCGACAACAGAGCTTAAATACGAACAGTAACATACCCGAGCCACCGCCTAGCCTGTCTGATTTGTACCAATTCCCTCTCATAGCCGATGCAATCGCCTTACTTTACTCAACCTACATCTCGACAAGCATCCATTTAACTAAGACATATTGCTCCAGCTACTGTAATCAACTTTTTGTCTCTCGCTATGATTCATATTGCTGCGACAACTACGCGTGACACAGAAACATATTTAACTTCTGTATAATCTCATGTAGAGTCGCAAAAGCTACTAGATTATGCTGTATCTCCATCAATCACGATGGCCAAAGAAAAACGTTTAAATGTTCATATCAAAGCCGATATCAGCGCTGATTAATAGCTAAAAAACTACGAAATATGATTCCACTCCACATGGTACATCCCTACAGAGTTATATCATTCGCACGGTTAGCACATTTTATTAATTGCACCTTAAGATTTGTTCAGCAACAACGATAGGTGTGTTGTGTTATAATGAGTAATAATATTCTTTATGTAACTTTGACTCACTTTCACGTCTTTATAGTTGGCGACGATTTCCGAAGCGAAAGTATTATTGCCGATGATGGGTTTGTTCTTGACGCTGGGGAAGATGATCCCGCCCTTGCGGCTGGCGGGCCGCGGGCTGGTGCTGCCCGTGCTGGCCGTGCTGGCCGGTGTCACCGTCACCGTGGCGCCGGCGCCGGCGCCAGCAGTCGAGCTCCATGTGCTCGAAGTGCTGGAGGTGCTCGTGCTCGTACTCGGGCTGCAGGCGACACGAACATTAGTCACCGTACACCCCTACACCTCGACCGCTAAATACATATCGCCAGTGTAGGATGTAACAGTAACGCATCACAATCGCTCGAGCTCGCAAAATATATCGCATTGACAAAAACAATCGCACAATCGCATAGGCTTATTTGGAAATAGAAAGATATCACCTGTTGTTTAGTGTGGACGAGGGCGGCATCGTGGTAGCTGCTACGGTGCTTGTAGTTGGGTCGGTGTAGGGTTCGTCGACCCTGTACCGGTTAGGGGCGTACTCTACCAAACGGTCGATGGTTGGGTCCAGCAGAAGCTCAGCAGGTACCGGTCGCTGTGCCAGTGTTGCGACGTCATCCTCCTGTTTCTTCAGTCGTTTTTCTACCATGTCCAAGTTTTCTATGATGAGGTTTGTTTTTAAACGAAGGTCGTTGTGGATTTGTCCAATAGCCCGCTCCTGGCGCTGCGTCTGTGTAAGTAGTTCATCAGACTTGGGTACTAAATCATCTACGGAACTCTTAGTACCGACTACTACGTCCCAAACTTCATCCATTTTTTCTGAGACACTCATCATGGGTATTATTTTATTTACAAGTGTATCTATTTTACTACTTTTCGTTATAGGGGCCTGAGTACTTGTAGCTGTACGGTTCTTGAACAAACTGTTGACATTTATAGAAGCGTCTTCAGGCTCGACTATAGCAGCGTGTACATCAGCCATCATGTACAGTACTTTGCCCAAGTTCTCAGAGACGAGATTGATATGGAACTGAAGTTTTCGATCGACAGTCGATACAGAGCTTCTCAGTTGATCTACTTCTTTAGTGATTTCATTGATAACCTCGGTGTTCAAACCTTTTGCAATTTCTATTACGTTCAAATTGATAGGTTTCTTTTCACTGGCCTCGGCATTGATGTCATCGACTGGCAAAAAGTTACTGTCGATCTGATTTTTAAGGCCTACCAGTTTCGTGTCGATGTTTGAGACTTTTTGATCTAAAGATTCCAGTTTTCGGTCAAGCAACTGTGCGTCGCTTATCTTGTTTTTGTTTTCGTTTTGCTTTTTAGCGCTATTTTCGGTAACGCTTTCCTCGTCATTCTGGCCTATGTGGCTAAACAGTTTTAGGTCGAGGTTCCCCAGTTTTGATATGATAGCATCAGTTTTGTGTATGTTGTCATTTACTCTCGAGTCGAGCGCTTCCACTCTCCTCATTAAATGTTCGACGGCCTTGTCCAAGTTCTCTATTCTTTGTAGTTTCGTCTCTAACGTGCTCACTATGACTTCAAAAACGTTGAATATGTACTGCTCTCTGAAACAATAAGAAAGATTCCATTTAGTATCAATTTGAATCATTCGATAGCATAAACTCACTGATATTTAAGAGAGTACAATACAAACGCCTATTATAAATTATGTTACTATTTTTACTTCTATAAACCTAGAGAAATTGAAATATCTCGCATCATAGTAAGTTGTTATGCAAGGAAAGAAATAGAAACCTTAAATACATGCTACCTACGTGCGTGCCACAAAATGTTTAATCGTGTCACAGACCTAAGACTCCTGCAGACATGGCGCGCGACGCTCGTTGAGCATAAGCTAGTTCTTGTTATGTGTTATTTATTGACAGATACACTTGCGATACTCGAAAGTGTATAAACCTATAAAATATGTAGCAATTTGTTCCAGCGATTTCGTAAATTAAACGTCATGTCGAACCAGTTTATGAGTCTATGTAATAATAAACATTTTTCGTTAGACTTCATTCAATTGGTCTACGCGCTACGGTACATTTTGTTTGATCATATAACAGTGACTGATGACATACCTAGTTTTTTACTATTGGCATGTCTATTAGAGTCATAGTTGGTATTGATAGTAATAGTGACAGAGTTGACGTGTTATAAAAACAATACGCGTGTGTTTATGTTTAGTGACAGCATAATGTAAAATAGTTGCGTCATACAATACTACAAGTATAGTATAAAAATAAGAATAACATTCCACAACGCATATTTTTTATTGTTTTGTAAAGGAAATTTCTACTTACACCAATGTAGGAAAATGATGGAAATCAGTAAAATATTTGTATAAAATCCATTAAACATCATTAGTATGTTAATAAACATGAATGAAATCTCGAGACGCGTTGGGCCAATCGATATAATATTTATGTAACACATTTATATGGGAATTATTAATCACGACGTTGTCAATGAAATAAACGAGTTTTATATATTTACTCACAACGTCTACCACTTTCTTCTGGATTTTTGACTGAAGCACTGACTCATCTTTACGATTTTGATTTAAAAATGCCAATAAGTGAGCAATTTCTGAAGTAACAATTAAATAGGTAAAAGTGGATACTAGGTCCTATAAACTAGCATCGAAATAGATGCAATGACGACATGATTTAGTTGTAACGTTACAGTGAACGACTTCCAAATCAATTAAATATATATATTTGAGCAACAATAATCGCAGTTATTATAACTTTCGAAGCTAGCACTAATCTTGCAAACAGCAAGGTGCTCGCCAACATAAATTCATTTCGAAATCACAAACGAACCTGTTATTATATTATATGTATGTACAGATTGTCGGTCGCAACTCGCACCACATCGACCTAAAGTGAAGCGAGAGGCTATCGGCCGGTATTATGCAAATCCAGTGTAAAGTCGCAGTTTGGTCAACCGGCCCACTTTAACAGTGTTTGCTTTACTAAATTGATAGCCTGTTACGACCTGCCTTATCCGATACGTGAATAAACTTCCTGAAATAGAACCATTTACTAAAGTGAACCAACGGCATTGAAGATTTTGCAACACCTGCCTCCTTTCGAACGCATTACGGGTTCTATATATTCCAGGGAATGGTTCTAGAAATTAAATCGGACTGGTGTTGATTAATGAAGCATTCAATGTAGCGGTTTGGGTGAGCGGGTATCGTACCTACTGTGTACTGCCTGGGCCGACAGACGTGGAAGTATTTTGTAAGTTGTATGCCGAGGTACATTGTAGATTGTTAAATATTAGGCACTCGCAGTTAGCCGTGGCTTGCGTGATGCCAATGTTTTGCCATAAATCCAGCTCCTATGTTAACAGTTAGTGTGTTAATCAATCACATCAATTACTAGCTTGTCTTATTCGCCAGAGATTCGTTCTGTTGTTACCGACTTACCTACTGCCTATGTTAGGTAATCCATAAATACTTCACTAATTGTTGATTGTTAGCGCTGCGTACTAAACTAGACATTGCGATGAATAATTAAAACATAATTGTATGTATGTACCCACAAGTGAATACTTTGTTACTTTCATCTAAGAAAAAGTTTGCTGTCGAACTAATGAACGTGCGGGCTGACACAAACAGAATACACAATGGTTACAGAAGAATAGATAGAGAGCTTTCAGTAAAGACTTCAAAGCCAGAACATGTAGATGGAAATATGTAAACAAAATCCAGTTCTCGATAAAATCGTGATAATCGTTAGTTACCTCATAAAACCACAATCTGATTAACACCTATTAAGTTATTGAACATCTAAAAAATTGTATAATATGTAAAATAAAGTTCCGTTACTGCGTTATACAATACCGTGCGGTGGATTTAGAATATTAGTTATTAATGTTATTATATAATGCTTTGTTAATTGATAACCATCTCTGACAATTAAAACAAATGGGCCTTCGAATTATACAAGAATGTAATAAAAATGATTGTTGTCGATTTACTAGTGGTAGTGGGCTACGCACAAATTGTTTCCTTGTCAATCAAAAAAACATGGCGGTTACAGGGCTTTAGATAATGGTTGTTTCTGGTAGATATAATAATTATCTATGCCACTTATCTACCACTTCAGTAACTTGAGCAATTTCCTCAATACTGATAGTGAGAGGTGTTATATTCACTTGAATGATTACTTGATCGTTAGTTTACCTGAAGTAGGAGTCTCGACAATGTAAGACTCGCACTAGTCTTAGGTTGTCGAGACTTCTTATTACCTCAACCCCTATACGATATACGACGTGCAGGAGAAGGAACGGGGTGGTTTTTAGTCAGTAAGAGTCGTGACACTCCCTTCCGCCTCATCCAGGCGGGAGCAGTCATTCGATGATTGTCCCCCTTAAAAAAAACCCTATACGCTGTGTTAACGGATAACCAAACTACAAGTTAGGCAGGCGTAGGAGTGGCTACAGGAGCCTAAACAGTATACATCTAGGTTACCTAGGTTACCTAGGTAGGTATTTCTATTACATCTAAGCCTTCGTTACCTAAGATTTGCTTAGATGTATTTTAGTGCTTTCACCTCTCTCTTTGTTTTAGATGTTAATGAACATGTTCTTAGATAAGCATCGACTTAAATATTAGTTGTTCAAAGAGGACTTATTTATCTTTACAAGTTCTGTCTTACAATTCAGATACATTGCACTTTAAGTTTAGACTTTTACAGATAACATCATACGTTACGTATTTTGATCCCCGAACACAATTTTATTAGTTATGAGTCCCATGTTGGTTAGCCTTGCCATAAAGTCGTGGATATTATTGGACATTACAGTTTTTAAATGAGAATTCCCAATTCTCATATGTTAGCTCTTTTTAACGGATTACACAAATGCCTATGTGTGGTCTTCTCGCTCTCGGGGTAATCAATTATTCTTTGTCTTACTTAACGATGCCAGTAAGGTTCAGTTTAGCGGTACATTGTAGTGTTCCTTAAAGTGCAGGACTAATCCGAGGGCAGAACATTCTTTTGCTTCGATTCGAATGTGGTTCATGGTCCCTAGTTATTGTGTGGGACAGTGATATTGCGCGCTCAACCCGCGCAACGCTTTGTGCATACGAGGGGCCATTGTCAGGCGAATATTTTGTTCTATTTGTTCCGTACATAATGTAATACAAATCGCTTTGTCTCTCTGCGTCGTCCAAACGTCCCACGAACTGTAATTTTTTACACTATTACAATCACTTAATCACGAAAAGATTTGTTTGCATGGTTAGTTAGAACAATACATCACTTGAGGTCGTCAGTGTATGGACATCTTTAATGTTGACACGGCTTGGTTAGTTTTTCATAGTTAGTCGTGATTGTGGTTGAATGAGATTAGCAAACATCTATGTATTTGTGTGCATGCCCATTTGAGTGTCATTTCAGATCTACCGTTATAAACAAAATGATTGTATGTCCTGATTATTTTATTATCGGTTAAAATCTGGGAGAATAAAGTATTCCACGACCCATGTGAGGTATTTGTGGGAATCGTGAGTCTTCTATATCTTCCGACTAACAACAGACAGAGATTACGACATCATCACGGCTTATGACACGAAAGCTCTGGATTAAAAAGTAGTAACAACAACTCTACATTTTTATACCTTAAATTAGTGTTGGCCTAATGAACTATTTATTATCACATGATTTCGAGCGATAACTCTGCTAACTACCAAAATGATTTGTCTAACTTAATTTGAATTATGGTGAGAATAACAATTAATTAATTAAGTTTTCTAGTTCATTGTTATTGCGTGCACCTTATCAGATAGTATGCCAGCACGATTATAATCGACAGGCACACGCTTGATGTATGTTATGGTCGAGTCGACTACAAGGACTTTATAAGAATCTAGGTAAATATAATTAGTTGGAACTTAGCTGAGATATAATCGACAATGGAGCACTAATATGTCACCAGGTATGTTATAAGTAGAAAAAACAACAAATATTTTCATGGGAATTACAAGAGTCGCACTCGAGCAGTGGGACCTTGCGTGAAGCAGTGGGTATATCCGTCGTAAGCTAAGCATTTCGTACGAATATTTTGACGGCGACTTTGAGATTAAATGAACGCTGACCCTCGTGTGACCATGTAGCAGCTCTGTGCGCCACCCACGCGCCACGTACGCTGCGCTCGCGGCCCGCGTCGCGTGTAGCACCGATCATTAGTCTAGGCTGCCGCTGAGCGCTGCCGATACACCCAGATATTCTGTTACAACGTTACATCACCATCTAGTTGCCGATTGCGTTTCTGTATTGTTTTGACAACATAATTAGGACTTAGAAACAATAACAGCGGCTTCGTGTTGTTCCCATAAAAAATATTGACAACGTAATATTAGAGGCTTTCTGACCTTTAAAGTGACATGATAACTCAATATGGCTGCGATAATGTTCTTGTATTACACTCGACGTGTAGTTTTATGTTTGTATAATAACGGGTTCATAGGTTTATGGCCAACATGTGCCTGTGTAGGGCGCACCTGTGTTATACTACAGATTATAAATTGTTTACTGGTTACTATAATTTCATTGTTTCAAGAGCATGAGAAAACTGTTCGTGCATTTCGTCTGCGTAAGATGAAATTAGATCACAATTACGAAGTCAGTTTACATAACATCGTGTAGTTATTTTGTATTATTTTTTCGAATAAAATGTGATATTTAAAGCGATTGCTTAATTAACTTTATGCACGTCTTAATTGATCTTGCGACAGGCTTTGGTATCGGCAATACGGTACACCTGAAGATACTAATTCTTCCTCACGTAATACACATTGTTAGTACATGTCATACTTATGTACGTACTTACATGTATTGTAATATGTAAATATGGATCTAAGCAGTTAGAAGTATTGTTGTCGCTTTACCCTTTCACACATCAATGAGGAAACGGATAGCTTATCGTGATTTTTGCATTTAGTTAATGAGTTTCACACACGACTCGCTTGAAAGTTACAAATATGATGAAATCGTCGTTTTACGTCGACCTTTAGGGATAAACAAACACGAGAAAACGTTGCATTTTCAGTTAATTTTATTTAGGATTTTACTTAGTATTGTTCAATTAATTTTATCGACGCTCTGAAGTGAGCACAGTTATAAAACCAAAGTCTCAACTTAAAGATCCACAATGGTGAACTGGGAAAATTGGGAGTGAAAACTATCTAGAGCTCACCTACGATAAAGCCTATGAAGACGCCATTATGCATACGACGACCACGTAGCTAAACTGATACTTAATATCTAGATTCGGCAATTATAGGCTTTTGACAGATATTCAACAATACTAATCGGGTTAAAATCGATTTAAAATAAAATTTTAGAACTGAGATCGGCAATTAACATCGCTGTAAGAACGCTGAGCAATTCTAGACACATCTCCACGCTATAGTCGTATCTATAGCGAGCTACGGTATGTTATAGATAGGAGTCTACGAAGCGTGACTCGTAACAGTTACATTGGTCTGTCTGTTTGTATAGACACTTTGTGCCGATGTTCTCTCTGTGAGGAACACGCAACAGTGACTCTGCGGTATCTCACGCACTTTAACAACACGTCTTCACTAACAAAGCGTACAAATTGTGCATTTGTTTAGATGTATTTCAGTTGGTTTTTAATATAATGAAAGGCCTCCTTTTATAATTCTTTATCGTTAATCTTAACATTTACATATTATGTGTTGCACAAGAATAGATGAATCGATTTGCATGTAATTTCACTCAAAGGTGGATTAAAATCTAGGCTTAAAATATAGGACTTGTTGCTAGTTATTGTAACCCAGAAGTGCTTAAGCATCCGTATCTACAAGTCAAACGAACAAACGGTATTTTGTCAAACTAGAAAGCGAGTTCACACAGCAATAAAGATTTTTATTTTATATATTTGATGATATAACATAACATTCAACATTTTAGAAATATGTGTTATTGTTTTAATGCCTGACTTGTTACGTGCACACGTTGTGTTTAATTTACTTACTATTGTGGGTTAAACTAGGAAATGATAAAGTTAGTCAATACGTGGAACTGAACTTTTTGTACGATAAATTATTATAAAACTTGGTACATATTTTCAATTTCTATTTTATTCTATTTAGAATAATTTGAAACTACAATCAGTCTCCAATATTTTCGACGACCTCATAGCTATATTACAAGCGTGGGGATGGAAACAAATCTCTCCGTTACGAGTGAAGATGACGTGTTCCTGTTGACAATAATGACAACGTTATTGATAAACGAAACAATCTTACATTTGAGAGACAAAAAAAACAGAGATATCAAAAGTTTACAAGATAATAATACCAAAGTATGATCAACTCCAATTTTTAATTCAAATTGGATCTCGTAATTTGCCAAAAATAGTTTTATTAGTCTATTCTATATAATCTTATACGTACATACGTATGTAGGTATGTACCAACATATTTTTTTCCAGTTTAGTTAGCACAGAAATGTTGAAACATTTCCAATTTGCAAGAGTAATTAGTTCATCTCTTTTTCTTATTTTATTACATGAGAGTTGAGAAATGAGTGAAGTTAATCTTAACCAATAGAGACCGGTTATTGCTGTATTCAAAGTATATACTTAGAGCTTGACATTGCTTATGTACTCACGAAATTGTACATAATAGTTAAATCAATATCTTTTATCCTGAAGACACTGATGCAATAAGTTTGTTTTTTACTGAAGATAACATAGATTGATAGAAAATCTGAAC